TGATGATCATATCCACGCTCCAGAACAAGAATATAACCGGTCAAACCAGACATTTTCTCCCGGTTATCCAACCGCTTATGCTCCACCGGGTTACTATGATCCACCGGGTTATCCGCCGGGTTACCCATACGGGGTTGGAGGATGGGGATTTTCCGGTGAGAATCCAAATGTGAATCGAGGAATGTATTTCATGAAGAAATCTGCGCCACAATCTCGACCGTTCATTTTTCAACCGGAGAATCATCGAGTGGAGCCGTCGGATTCTGGATTTTCCGGTTACCCTATTCCGACTCCGGCGACGCCACAACCACCACCTCCGGCACCTCCATCGCCGCCTAATGTATCCACTTGGGATTTTCTTAATGTGTTTGATACGTATGATTATAGCAACGCTCGTTCTCGTGCTTCGAGCTATTATCCGACGGGAATGGCGTCAATCTCAAGTAGCCCTGATTCGAAAGAAGTTAGAGAGAGGGAAGGGATTCCTGAGCTTGAAGAAGAAACAGAGCAAGAAGTTATCAAACAAGTGTATACACGTCCTAAGAGAACAACTTTGGAGAAGGTGAAAGAACACAGACACGAGGAGAAGCCTAAGATCTCTGACCGTAGCGAAATTCGCGCGAGGAACGGTAACAGAAGAGGGTATGTAGGTAAAGCAATGCCAATGCCAGAGAGAGTCACTGAGAGCTCGTTGGATTCGGACACAGTGTCTTCGTTTTCAGGGAGTGATGTAGAATCAGAGTTTCATCATGTTAATGACGGTGAGGGAAAGAGTAGTAGTAGTTCAAATGGTGTTGAGACGATCATGGGGACGAAGAGCTCGGGAGAAGTAGATGAAGTGTATGAGAGGAAGAAAGGAGTGAGCTTTGAGTTGGAGGAAACGGGTACTTCTTCTTTTGATGTTGAATCTTCCATGTTAAGTAGCTTATCAAGTTTGTCGATTCATGCCACTAGAGATATCAAAGAAGTTGTGAATGAGATCAAGAGTGAGTTCGAGGTTGCTTCTTCGTGTGGGAAGGAGGTTGCTTTGTTACTTGAGGTCAGCAAGTTGCCTTATCAGCATAAAAACAATGGCTTTAAAGGTACCATCTCTTAACTCTCATATTCTGGATTCATCGCTCGTTCGTTGTCGAGATCATCTATACATGGAAGCAATAGTTCTAAATCATATCATGATCATGCATTTCGGCATATCTGCTTTGCGAGGAATAGCAATGTTATGCAATGGTTGAGAGTAATGGTGAATAGAGTATATTTTAATTTTAATGGTTATTTGATGATGTTGGATATCTTCGCGCTGGGAACTGTATGATGTAATGAGATATTATCTTGGCTAAATAGGACTTTCTCCGGTCTGCTAGAGCGTGCTGAATTTACTGGACTATGAACCAAATTCTGAAAATTTAGACTCCAGTCTACATTTTGATCTCTTGTTGGTAAAAGATATTGTGATTTTAGACCGATTTGTTTTGCGTTGGATTATGAACCAGAGATTGAATGTGTACAATGCTTTATTTTTCAGTTATCTTATCCAGGATCATGTATATGGTTGCACCATCCACGCGTTCTCAGCCCGAACTGTCAATACGTTTAACATCTAGGACACGGAAAATGGCGAAAGAGTATAATGAACAAGATGGATTTAACCTCTCATCAACCTTGGAGAAACTGTGTGCGTGGGAAAAGAAACTGTACAAGGAAGTCAAGGTATGAAGCATTCTGAATCTCTAATGTGATTGATTGCTCTTTTAGATTCTTGCATCTCGTTACATTTTTGATTCGCATTTGATGGCAGAACGAAGAAAAGCTTCGTGCCATCTATGAAGAGAAGTGCAGGACACTGAAAAAAATGGATAGTTATGGAGCAGAATCTAGCAAGATCGACGCTACTCGGGCATACATTAGGAAGATTCTGACCAAAATTGATGTCTCTATAAAATCTGTTGATTCCATATCCAGAAGAATCCATGAACTTAGAGATGAAGAATTGCAGCCACAACTCACACAGTTAATTTATGGGTAGATCATCTTTCCACACATATACGGAATTTCGATACCTATATACATATTAAGCTGTAAAAAAAACTGATGTTTGTGTGTTTGAAGGTTGATAAGAATGTGGAGATCAATGCTAAAGTGTCACCAGAAACAGTTCCAGGCGATCATGGAGAGCAAAGTTCGATCTCTAAAGTCGAACAGAATCTTACAAAAAGACTCTGGTTCAAGAGCAATTCTTGATCTTGAGATGGAGCTTAGAGAATGGTGCAACAGCTTCAACAACTGGGTGAACACACAGAAATTATACGTACAGTCTCTACAAGGATGGCTCTCGAGATGTCTTCACTATGAACCCGAGGCAACCGAGGACGGAATCGCTCCTTTCTCTCCTAGCCGTATTGGCGCACCGCCTATCTTTATCATATGCAAAGATTGGCAAGAAGCAATGGGTAGAATATCTGGAGAGAATGTGAGCAATGTAATGCAAAGTTTCGCTTCAAGCCTACACGAGCTATGGGAGAAGCAAGAGCAAGAAGAACAAAGGTTAAAAGCGGAATCTGAGCATCGAGATGCGGAGTCAGATAAAAGAAGCGTGGTTTCGAAAGGTCGGTCAGAGAGCGGGATATCGGCTTTGGATGATCTGAGAGTTGATTTAGATTCAATGAGTAAGAAGCTAGTAGATGAGAGAGGTAAGCGTAAAGAAACCATTAAGTTTGTGAACAATGCCTCTTCGAATAGCTTAAAAGCTGGTTTAGTTCCCATTTTTGAGGCACTTAGAAAATTCACTGCACAAGTTGTGAAAGCTCATGAAATTGTTAGGCTTCAACATCCTCAAACTTCTTCTTGAGTTACCACTTTTTTTGCAATGTTTCAAAGTTTTGTTACTTCAAATTAGATTTAGGCTTATGGTAGGTTGTTGTATAGATAAATCCATATATTCATTTATTGGTTGGTTATTTTGCTTTAATTACCTTTCAATGGTGAAGAATCCAAAAAATTAATTTACATATTACTTGTGGATTATTGAGATTAATTTTATGTGCTCATTTAGCTGAAATATAAAATACACATTAGTCTTATTGAGATTACAAGATTATACAAATATGATTTTTGAAAATTACAAGAATATTGAGGATTTGAAAAAGAAAATAGATATAAGAATATGGTGTCATAGTGAAGATAATGTAGGATATAGATAAAAGAGTGTGGTTAGGCATGATCTATGAGTCTCTATGATAGACTTTTATTAATGGCTAGAAATTAAACTAAGATCAATTATAATTGGTCAACGATTGGATCGGTT